CATTCTTTATATGTTGTGATAAGCTGAGTAGGTTTACAAGTTGTCTGCGTTATAATAAGTGATTTGTATATGCTGTGATAAAGGAAGAAGTTGTTTACTTGTTATTACAAGTGATTTTTTTACATAACAAGTGAACAGGTTAACAGGCTGTTTATATGCTATAACGTGTAAACAAGTTAACAGGCTGTCTGCTGCAATAACGAGTGAACAAGTTAACAGGCTGTTTGTATGTACTAGCGAGTGAACGAGTTAAAAAGGATGTCTATGTTATTACGAGTGAACAAGTTAACAAGTTAACTGGGTGTTTGCTTGCTATAACGAGAGAACAATCTAACAGGTTCTTCTGTCTCTTTTTTTCTTTCTCTTTCTCCTTGCTCCCTTCCCACCACTCCCTGCTTCCCGCCCTCTCTCTCTTTCTTCCTCTCGCCCTCTCCCTTGCCCCTCAATTATGGCCTCTTTCTCCTCCTCCCTCTACACCCCCCCCCTCTCTCTCTCCATATCTATTTCTCACTCTCTCCTCACTTCTCCTTTCCTCCTCCCCCTCTTTCTCTCTCTCTCTCCTCATCCCAACCCCTCTCTCTCTCTCTCTCCTCACCTCTCCCATCCACGAGCTCAGGGTAGAGAGCGCAGCCTCCGACGGCCGCGTGCTGACTCCCTCGTATGCTCATCCTCTTCCCTCGGAAAGCGACCTGGAAAGAATATTTTAAGGGTTAATGGGTTATTATAATTTTGAGGGTTAAGAGGTTATCCTTATTTTGAGGGTTCATGATTTTTTTTACCTGTCTTTATTTGTTTATCTACTTCATAAGACTTATTTGGGAGTACTGTTTATTTTGTTTTTGTTATTGTCGTTTATTTCTAAAGTTTAATTGTATTCATTTCTGTTATTTTTTTTTTTTTGTCAGTTTGTTTCCCTAGTAAGATTATTCAGTTTGTATTGATGCATTTATTCATTTGATTTATTTTCAGGGGGGGGCTGTTTATTGTTCATTACTTTTTATTCATCTGTTCATTTCCCAGACAAAAGGGGACGTTATCAATGCCACGCGTCATATTTCTAGTTTCCTTGTATATCTCAATTAATAAAAATAAAATGATAGTTATAGAAGAAAATAGAAGAAAGATTAGTCGGCCCTATCTGTACGATCCTCTTCCCCCTGAAAAAGGAGAGAAAAAGGGGGAAAAAGAGTTTTAAAAAAGAGGTAAAATAATCTATAGCTCTTCAAGGAATAAATAAAAAATTCAAGTCCAGGCCACTTTTTAAGGCGAGGTGAGGGTCGGTGTTCCAGGAGACAAGTAGGGGAGAAGAGGGTGAGGAATGAAAGGGAAGAGAAGGACGTGAGGAAAGGGAGGGGAGGGCGAGGAGTGAAAGGGAGAAGTGAGAGGGTAGAGAAAGGCGAGAGAAAGGGGAGAGGAGAGTGAGAAGTGAGAGGTATGAGGAATGAAAGGGAAGAGAAGGACGTGAGGAAAGGGAGAGGAGGGCGAGGAGTGAAAGGGAGAAGTGAGAGGGTAGAGAAGGAGAGGAAGGGTAGAGGAGAGTGAAAAAGTGAGAAAGGGACGTGAGAGGGGAGAGGCAGAAGTTAAGAGAGGGAGAAGTGAGAGGGAAGAGAAGGACGAGAGGAAAGGGAGAAGAGGGTGAGAAGTGAGAGGGAAAAGCGAGAGAGGAGAGAAGGGTAAGAGGCAGAGGTTAAGAGGGGGAAGATTAAGTAATGAGAGAGTGGAAAGAGAACAGGTGGTAAGGAAAAAAAGATGAATGACAAGCAACCGAGAAGAACAAAAAGAAAATAAAACGGCAAAGACAGGTAACAACTACAGATGAAAGGAAAGGAAACAGAGAAATGGAGAAAGGGAGAAAGGGAGGAAGAGAGAAAGGAAAGGAAAGGGAGAAAGGTAGGAAAGGAGGAAGAAAAAAAAGTGGAAGGGAGAAAGGGAGGAAGGGAGGCATAGAAAAGGGCGCATTCAAGACACACGATCATACTAGAATATCCAAATATCGCCGGGGATCAGACGGAGAGCTCCCTGAAGGTGCTCTGACCACGTTCTCTCTTACACGCGCTCGCTCTCGGGAAAAAAACGTCTTACACACACACGCGCTTCTTTATTGATATTTTTGGTGTTGTTGTTATTGTTGTTATTGTCGTTACTATTATAGTGGTCGTTATTTTTATAATTTCGATTATTATCGTCATTATTATTATCACTATTATAACTATTATCTTTATCATCATCATTATTATTATTGTGATTATTATCATCCCTATCATTATTGTTGCTGTTTCTATTATCATCTTTTTTCCATCAACATTACCATTATTGTTATTGTTATTACCATTATGATTATTAACATCATCACCATCATCATATTTATCCCGTTCGTAATTCTTAATAAGAGTAAAATATTAATCTAAAGAACAAAATTCGTGAAGAGGAAAAAAACAGGTGGAAATTCTTGGAGCAAAAATAAAGTTCTTGAGTTCTTGTTGACCTTTTGAGGGGGGGAAAAACATTATATTTTTTTCTGTGGCGTTCCCGGTGACCTGAGGAAGGTTTTATCTATTTACGTGTCATTTTTTCCGAGTTTTATTCTTTATCAATTTCTATTTGGAATTTTTTGTATGTATATTATTAAGATTTTGAAGATTCTGAATTTTGGATTTGCGATTTCTCTGTCTCTGTCTCTGTCTCTCTCTCTCTCCCCCTTTTGTGAATATGGAAATTCGATAAAAAAATCAAAATGTAGTAAAAGATATGTTTTAAACTTTAATTTTGACTGAAGACTAACTGATTTAGACTAATCAAATCATGTCTTTTGAAATAGAACCCAACAATCTTGTACCTAACTTGGAAATACTAGACATTATATCTTTTACACAACCTGTCTTGCGTTCCGTTTGGCCCCACGAAGCGCGTCATTTCAACCGAACGGACTATAACAAAACTTTTATTCCTCGTGTTACAGGTTACAAGGCTCACAGATGCCACAGTTCCGAGAGGTAGTCAACGCCTACAGTGTTTTTATGATCATTAAAGAAGCAAGGAGAATGTGATAGAGGATGTTATTTTAGTTTGGTTTCTACCAATGTGAACATTTATGATCAACGGACTTTCTGAAACCTAATAAGCTAGACACAGGATGTTAAATATGAAGAAACACGAGAACACGATTCTTGACCCCATAACCTTAAGCTGATGGACTAATAATAGATGTCACCGTATAAAGATAAATAAAAAGTTAGGTTGCTTTATAAAGATAATTAGAAAACTGCTACAAATACAAGAACATAAAAAAGTCTTAGTAAATGTATTTAAATCGCAAATTTAAAACGCAACAGAGCACGCGTGGGGTAATGTTTACACTTCAGCTTGTCCGTCGCACCGCACAAATGTATTCCTATTTTCCAAAATAACGCAAGGTAGGTTGTCGATACTAAGTGAAAATTAAATACAGGTTTTCATGAATCACAGTTCGAAACAAATACCAATAATGGGAGGTTAAAAAAAAAAAAAAAAAAAAATTATGTTTTTGTGATGTAAACAAAAGTAAACGTTCGAAGGGAAAGTAAAATAATTGAAACGTAAGTATACGAGTCACCCAGTAAACAAGCAATCTAGTAAGTAAGTAAACAAGCAACCTAGAAAGTAAGTAAATAAATAACTAAGCAACCCAACGAGTGAGCGAGTTCGTAAACAAGCAAAGGACACCATGAATGAACAGAATAGTCAGCAAATAAGCAAAAGAATCGAGATTTAAGACAGTAAGAAAGCAACGTGGCGGACAAACAATTTAAGCAAGAAAGTAGGCAATTCCAGAAGGAGCCAGTGAGTATGTAATTAAATCAACAAGTAAATAAGTAAAAACAAACAAATAAGCAAGTCAATAAACAATCAAGTTAGCCATCAAGTAAAGTAAGCACTTACAATATGTTATTAACTGAATGATATATATTTTATTATTTATTATTTTTTTTTAGTAATATGCAGAAAATGAAAACTGTTATTTACAACGCGGTTTCAAGGGCTGATTAGGCTAATGGCAACGGTTAATGAGGGTAATACGACGAGACAAGGGCGAAATAAGAACACGATGATGTAAGTAGAATCCCCTTAATTGGCATTATTTTTTTTCCTTTTTTTTAACGAGGGAGAGACACGTGTAGCGGGGGAAAAAGAGGAAATGATTTCAATAAAAATGTGGAAAGAAGGATAGAATGTGTGTGTGTGTGTGTGTGTGTGTGTGTGTGTGTGTATGTGTGTGTGTGTGTGTGTATGTGTGTGTGTGTGTGTGTGTGTGTGTGTGTGTGTGTGTGTGTGTGTGTGTGTGTGTGTATGTGTGTGTATGTGTGTGTATGTGTGTGTATGTGTGTGTATGTGTGTGTGTGTGTGTGTGTGTGTGTGTGTGTGTGTGTGTGTGTGTGTGTGTGTGTGTGTGTGTGTGTGTGTGTGTGTCTGTGCGTGCATGCGTGTTTATGTGTGCGTGTGTGTATCTGTTTGTGTGTATGGATGTACTGACTATTGTTACTAGGCGTAACAATAGTCCACTGGCTATTGTTGCGACGATGGTTGGAGATACATCAATTCGTAACAGTAGTCCACTGGCTAGGCTGTTGTTTCGACGGTAGTTTATGGTTATATTAGGCTAGGTTAGGTTGGGTATATATACATATATATAGATTAAATTAGGTCTAATCTAAGCTAAGCTAACCTAACCAAACCAAGATCCCGTGAAAGGCCTAGAAATTAGGCTAACTTACATTTGATTTGTCTTGTACCCACTGAAGACCTATGCTGATTGTTCCTTCCTCCATGCTGGCAGGAATAGTCAGTGGTAAAGAATTTCAAATCTGATTTAGTCCGATTCGGAGCACGTTTTTTTGCAGATTCAATTGATCTTGAGTTCCTTGTATAAAGATTCACACAAGCACTTTTTTCCCAGGCTGAAATGGCTGTCTACGGGTCTGAAAATGAACCGAACGCTGATCCTTTCTGGAATATCACTAGCGGCCATTTTTGGTCTTTCGCTGTGGATCTTCTCCGATAGAGGGCTCTGTAAGGATCGTCGTAACAATAGCTAATGGACTAGCAATAGCCACTGGGTTTTTGTTTTTCTGCTTGTGTGCGTTTGTGTGTGTGTCCGTGTAATAATTCAGTACATCTATCATTTCGAAATTTTTCAATACATTTTGTCAAACAATTCAATATATCTCTTAAACGTTTTTTTTCCTCTAGTGAACATTATATATTATATCGATTTCCGCAATTTACATATAAAAAACAAAACACACTGTATGAAGCAACGATGCAATAAAGAATACATAGAGGGTGATATTGGTCACAGACACATTAAATGGGTCGCCAATATGTTGCAGAAGAATGATTGCAAAACATACGCATGGGAGTATAAAAAAATATTACGCTGCAATAGATTCTTCGGCCCATTTGCCTTTGGTCTCGAAATCTTGTCATAGAAAGAGAAGGAAAAGATTGGAAACAATTGGTGAAAAAAACAGGAAGAAGAAAAAGTTAAGTATATATATATCTTACATTATAAATGTAAGTATATGATTGTACATAAATGTATATATATTTATACACGCACACGTAAACACACACACACACACACACACACACATACACACACACACACACACACACACACACACACACACACACACACACACACACACACACA